TTGTCAGTTTTTCCTATTTGTGAAGACCAAAATCTGAACAGGAGTTCTAAAACCATCTACTCCTTCCCAGCCTCTCTGTATGGCTGTAATTGTCATCCTGCCCTATTCCTAGGACAATTACAATATTTACCAAAAATAAAATGCTTACATATGTAGTGTTAAAATAAGCAGACTTGGTTGACTAGTCCTGCCTTCCTGATTCTTGCTCTTTCTCCTCCTCTATACTGTTGTCTGCTAGAGTTGTTGGGTCTGAATTCCTTCTGAAACTACTTAGTAACAGTCAGGTGAAGTCATGCTACATACCAACTTAAATCTTTTCCAAATACCTTTGAAATTGTTTCTTGCCTATACAACTATCTCCTCTGAACAGATGGATTTTTCAATTCCAATACTTACAGCTTTAGGACTTTCTGGTCTGTTGTACGAGTTATCTTGCTCTGAAGGAAAGAAAAAAAGAAGAGAATTTGTAAGTCTGTTAAAATGTGTGCTCTGGTAAAGTGAAAAACACAAAGGTACAAAATAAGTTTACAGCCCATTTAGCACTTAACATGTCAGTGCTTTTGTAAGAACGCTATTCTTTTTGTCAAGTTCTCCTGTAACCTTGAAACTCACAGGAAGGGTATTGGTACTGACAGAAACTTCCTGAATACTAATTGCCTGTTTTCATCTGCATTGACAAGGCATGACCTACCATTCATCTGACAGTGGAATTGCTTCCCTGGTGATACCAGCCACATATAAGAAAAAGACATTATTTTGCAAAAAAATCATCAAAGATGAGGATAAGTGAATCACATGCTACCGAGTTCTGCAGGTCCCAGGGGAATCCTGTCATACCTTACAGAATCACTTTGTTTTGCCTACCTAAGTGTAAAATACTCAGGAGAGACTTCATATGAAAAACCAAACAACTGAAATTCCTTGCCAGAAATGCAATAATATGAACAGCATGCACCTTAACTACTAGCTGACCATGGGCAAGTACAAGGTGCTAGCAAACACTGCTTGAAATTCATGTAGCTGAAAATACAGTTGGAAGTGGAAGCTGGGTTAATCACTCCTACCATTTCTATCATGTCCAAAATTAGATACACCTGAGTGAATCCATTTGACACTTCTGTTAATGTTTGGGTAAATTCATGTTAGCAGGTAGGAATCTCTCATTACTTACATTACAGGAAAATGGCTACATGGAGAAGCAAAACAACTAGTCATACTTTCAAAATATGTGTCACATTTAAGGAAGCAACAGGCCTGTCACATCTTTCAAAATGATTCCAGGTTTTCAGATAAAGCCCTTCAGCTTCATAGATACATTTATAATCTGCAAACTGGCAGAACTGGAAGCTTGCGCTCTGCTGGATCTTCTGGAATAGAATATTCTGCTGTGGAGTGCTACTCAGACTGAGGAAGGAATAAAAAGAGGAAGGCAAGAGTTCAAGGGGAAAAATATTTGTACACCCTTATAACAGTGAAAGAGAAGCTTAAAGAAGGTAATATTTGTAGACTAACATAAGAAGTTAACTATAGTCATAAAATATTTATCTGTGGAAAAGCAGGACCCAAGGGAATTTCCAGATGTCTCCTGTAGGCAGTTAACTTTGGAAATGTTGTGGGAAATCTATATATATTGTTATTCTTGTTGCAAGGTGCCTGTCTAAAATGCAAATAGATCTATAGCCTTTTTGTCAGCACAGTAAAAAAATCCCTGTTACAATAAAACTCTATCCACAAGACCTTTTAGCCAGCCATTATTCACATTGTTTTGTCTCTCATCTGCTGGTTTGTCCACTCATAATTACCCAAAAGGGTATAAACTAAAAAGAAAAATGCTATCTTTGAGCTGTTTTGGAGAGAGTGTACAAGTCTACCTTGTAAGAAGATGGTCTGGTCAGGTCCATTGTCCCAGCAAACTCGCTATCATCTCAAATTTTCTAGAAATACTTCTGAATGTAGTATCATGCCCAAGCTGTGATGTTGGACCAGAGTGACTTCATACTCTCATGCTCCACAGTTCTTCATAAAATGAAATTCTCCCAGTGATGAACAGCGGCACATACCTATGATGAAATTCAGCAAGAACTTAACAAAAGGTATAAACAAGGAGCACTGCTGAATGCTAGCGAGAAAAGCTAAAGACCCTAGGAAAAAACAAGTGCTGTTTTATAAAGCAGAAACTTTCTGCATTAGGTATTCAAAACTGGAGCATGAGCTAATACTGACTATAGTCTGATACCACACCGCACTGTAATTATTGCAAAGAAGCAATCGGAAAGGAAAAGGACAGTACTTAAGGGAAAGAAAATGGCTACACAAACCCTTTTCCCCCTAGTAAAATGGCATAACCTCTTATATGACTGCAGGATCTCATCAAAGCTAATCTATATTGAGAAACCATGTAAATTACATTTAGATGTTATATTTCACTGTGTACAAATGATGTTCATGAAGTACCAGTGCCACAGAAATTTGAACCCTCTTCTGTAGGCAACTTCAAGGAATTGGGGCAGTGATAAATTAATGTAGGCATTGCAAACTGCAGAGTTAAGTTTCAAACAGGGTAAAAAAGCAGATCTTTTTGCTATCCTGAAAGCAATTACATTTTAGTAACTTTCAGATTACCTAGGATAATACATAAATCCATACACTTGCTAGATGGCTTGTAATAACCAGAGTTACATAGCAGATTATTTAATTCAAATGTCAACTCATGTGGTTACACACCTTAGGTATGTTTTCAGATCAGTGACATATCTTCATGTCTGAGGAATGATAAGTGTGCTTAGAGCACATATTTTACATATACTTGTAAAGTATACTTGTACATATACTTGTGTAACTTCCAGAAAAACATCCATATTTAATAGATGTGACTGCTTTCTTTCAGTACTCACCATACATTCCTCAGAACTGAAAACTTCTCTAGAATTTTGGGTCTTTATTTCTGAATATTCAAAGGTTTGGTTTTGGTTTTGGTTGGTTGATTGGTTTTTTGATTGACTGGTATATTAAGTCTGTAGGTCTTCAGACCAAATATGTTCTAACATTCACTGGAAGTATGCCTTCTTCCTCGAACTTCTAGATTAGTATGATGTTTCCTGAGTAAAGGTTAGAGTAGCTTAATCAGCAGTTATAGCCACCATAAGATAACATGTCAAATCATATCAAATTCCTGTTAATGTACACTGTTTCCACAAAAAGAAAAATTGTTCAACATTATAATGGAAAATGTTGTTCTTCTAAGTTGAATAATAATTTACTTAAAGCAGGTGATTGGCACTGAACTCAACTGCATAGTTTAACTCAACAGAAGATTTCCCAGTCAGCAGAATAATATTTTCATGTTACTGTTGTAATGCTTATGTATTTTACTAGAAAATTTCAAACAAAAACTAAATAGACAGATGGCAAAGAGAGGACAACATCCAAACAACTATAAATGTACATATTAAGAGGATTACTGCAAGATAAAGAGCTAGAAAATACAATTAGCCATTTATATTTTTACTTTATTTATATTTTTATATATGTAGTTAATTATATTTATAGTTATGTGAGTACTTTCCACTAGGAACCCAGTTTATTATAGTTCACGGCCCCTGATGTTTGGCCAGGGAATCCAGCCTGGGTTGCCATCAAAGAGACCAGAGCTCTTTGAAGCCCCCCTGAGGAATAGTGGGTAGGAGGTGAAGGCGTAGAGAAGCTGGAGGGTGGAAGGAAAACCAGAGGCGATAAAACTTCTGGTGCCAGAAATGAAAGGGAATCTGAAAGCAATGTGCTGCAAGGTTAGTAGTGGGTGAGTGCAGTTGCACATGAATGAGGTGGGAATGTAGGAAGGGCCTTGCAGCAAGAGGAATTCTGAAATTATTCAGTTCACTGAGCTGAAAGAGTGCATGTGAAAGTACCTACCCATTATAAACAAATTTTGCAAAGTTATCAAGCATCAACAGTCTGCGCCCTACTCACATGAGGCCTTAAACATATGCTTGACTTCAAGTCTGTCCTTAGTTCAGTTACGTGTACACATAAGATTATTATTCCACTGAACTGGGGAGGACAAAAGGCTATACCAGATTTATTAAGCAGTGTCAGTTTTACAGTAGTGTAACATAGCAGTGGCCAAGCAGATTTTCTGGGGTTGTTCCTGGGCTTGGTAATACTTGGTCTCTGCACTGAGTCAAGGAGAGCAAGCGCTAAGCACTGAGGGCCACGGGCCAGAAAGGCTGGTAGAAGAGACAATGATGGAAGGAGGAAGTTCACTGGCACACAGGCAGCTCATCCCTTTCTTGGTCTCAGAGCCTGAATGATGCTACAGCAATCATTGCTACGGGGTAGCTTACCCATAGTAAACATATGAACTTATTGCTTGTGTTTTAGGTGTGAGAAGGCCAAAGTTTGTACCGGCATCGTGGCATCTGAGCATGGCTGCTGGGGCTGTTGCTGTCTTTCTTCTTTCCTTCTGCTAGCCAAGGCCAAGGCTCTAATATCTGTGAACAAGGTTGTAATCAATGGATGAAGCGTTAGATACCAAAACAACTCTGGGCAGAAAAAGAGCATTCATTGCCTGTGCTGTGCAGCAGTGAAGAGCCACAGTGCTGCACCGCAGTGGCAGCTGGGGAAAGCTCCTTTCAGCATGGGCAGACACACTGAACTTGCACCAGGCACCTTTTCTAAGGCCAGCTCTAGCTAAAATGAAAAGGAGTCCATCACCTGGCCCCATCCCCTCCTCTCAGCAATCTTACTGTGTCATCTCCTGAATCTGCAAGTGACTGGTTCCTCTATGAGCAGTTCAAGATTACAACACAACCTGCTGAAGTTCAGAGGACTTGTGCCAGCTCCTAATTATTATGCTTTTTAGTGACAGCAAAAACATTTAAATGGAGTGTAAACAATAACAACAATACAAAATATTGTGGAAGGTAACAGGCTACTGTCTAACTACAAAAAGATTGAGAATGGGATGTGCTAATGAGGTAAGATACAGAAAAAATACTGGAGTATTTGTTAGTTGACTTTATGCAAGAAAGCATAAAGTGTTTATACTGTGAATCAGAAGTGTGATGTAAGGGAGGTTTGCTAGAAAATACCAATATATTTTGAAAGATTTAACGAGTGCTGTGCCTTATCTGCTGTGCAGTGTCAGCCAGGCAGAGCGCAACATTCCCCATCGTTCTGCAGCAGAATGCTGTGGAAGGACTCCAGTCCAGCTCAGACAAATCTGCACCAGGTTTGAAAAATCACTCAAACCTGCTGAAGTAAAACCTTAACAAGCACAACTGCCTTTTGAATCAAAGTCTGTAGATTTGCAGCGAACAGGCTGATGAGGGGCATGGGCGAAGATGGCTCGTAGGGGACTGGGTGCCTTGGGTATTACCTTAGTTTCAGAAATGAGAAAGCAGTGAGGATCAGCACCAGCCCTTTGGACAACAGACAACTCGGGGGAGAATGTCCTTTCAGAATGAATATGGCTCATTCAAGAATTAACTCTCTACTCATCTTCTACCTCAGTTTTTTGCTGCTCATCCATCTAAAAAGTAAGATTTGCACTTCTTCTTATTGTTCTGACATGTCCTCTGGGTAGATGGCTAGATATGCATTTCTAGCAAGAAGCTTGTGTTGTCAGAAGGCTTTAAAAATTTGATAGATATGCCAAAAAGATTTGGATGAAGCAAAGTTGTATGAATTTGTAGCATGATAGCTTTCCTTATCTTCATGTTTAAACTTTTTTTTTTAATGAGGAATGAAAGGATTTTAATACCTTGCTTCTCCTATTTAAAATACAACAATAAAATGTTCTGTTAAAACTGTACCTATACTTTAAAGTCTGCATTTTGCTTTAGCATAAGCCTATCTGATTAAACTTTGGTCGAATTTATCCGCTCAAGATGATTATGTCATGTATTTTAGTAGAACTCATTGCTTTATTATGTATGCTTTTTAAATTCCAACCTCTAGAGAAATCAGTTACTAAACAACTGTGATATATTTGATGTTCTAAATGTCTCCATTACAAGGGAGTATAAAAGTCCAACTATTTTTATAGAGAAAATATTCTCGGCAAACTTCCACAGAAACAGAAGTATGAAAAATATGGGAAGTCACAATGGGTTTCCTTGATAATTGTGTCAGATGGTTGAGAGTAAATACAAGCCAAGGAGCTAAATGGCCTCAGCTGGTGAGGCTGATGTATGCCTATGAAAAGCAGTAGCTCTTGAACATGTTTAAAATGAAGACAGGCAGGATGTGTGTCTGTCTGAAGAGGCTGATTTGTGTCTGCTGAATGTGAATCACAGTAAGACAAAGCTTTGAGCAGCTGCCATTAAACAAGAAGATGGCATTAGCATACAGTGTTGTGTAATCTGGGTCACCTTCTGTTGCTGCATCACTCAAATTGTTACTTGGACAGTTTACAACCCAACATAAATTAAATACTGAAAAGCAAACAGATGTAGTTGAATCAACTAGCACTAAAAAAAGCAACAGATCCAAACCCAGCCCCCCCAAAAAAAAAACTGAAAAAAAAACTCAACCAACCCCCCCCAAACCACACTTAAAATTATAGGAAAATGCACAGAATGTCATAGAAGCATCATTTTATCCTAGCAGTTTTCTTCCTTGGGGATGTACTGATGTGAATCAGGGAAGCCAAAGTGTTCTTTCTAAATTAACTCACAACAGGACACATCCTGAGAAAAGAGACTGAATCTTCCTCTTTCAGAAAGCAGGTTTTAAAGTCTGCATGCTGTAGGATGAAGAAGCAGAAAGTCTCAGAGTCTGCTACCTAGTTAAAAGAAATTAACAGGAATGGAGTTAGGAGAATTTAATTTGTACAGGTGGCAGGCAAATTGTAACAAAATATAAAAGCTCTGGGAAAGGGCGTAAAAGTTAACTGTTTATGAAATTAAAAGCATCACACACAAAGACAGAATTGCAGAAAGTAGTGGGAAAAAAAAAGGTTCCCCAAGAATCAGGGCTTTGGTTTTTTTTTAATTAAAAAAGATTAACACAAGTTTTGGATTTGAGTTTGAGTAAGCTCTGCTCAATGCAGTATGCCAAAGGGGGGAAAGAAAGTAGCTGTATGTCATTTTGTGCTTTTCCCTTGGCATAGTTTGCTGGGATGACATTTCAGATGTCATGTGTTTTCCCTGTGTTATGGCCATATGGCTAGTCTCAGGCAAGAGGCTCTTCTGTCTTTTGAGGACTCTCCTTCTCGGGTAGATTTGTGGCTATTGCAATCTGATGTGATACATATTGAGGTACACCAGGATGGAGCAGCTACAGCAGGAGCCAGAATCAGGCTCAGGACCATATCTCTATCTACCCATGCAGGGTATTTAATGATCTTGACAGATATTTGCTCTCAAGAAAGTTTTTACATCTTCTGAAACTGCTAAAAATTTCTTTTAACAAAAATATGACTGTGAACAGATGAAACAGAAACAGAAGCAGAACTGACTGCAGTTACTTCCTTACTTAAAAATTAAAGCTCAGAAAGACCAAGACAGAAAAGTTGAGGATAAAACAGAACAGAGATAATTGCTGACATATATACAAGTTAAATGAGCCATTATATTTTGAAAATCAGTTTACTGGATTTGTCTTCCCCCAGGGATTCTAATCCTAGGTCCTGCTTAAATTCTTCTTTATAATTATTTTTTTTTCCTAACAACTTGGAAATAATTAGTATTTAGAAGCCAGGGCTTCCTAAAAACATTTCTGCATATAACTTTTTTCAGCTCACTCATTTTCCTGAGGTGAATAGAGGTATGCATACATTAAGAAGTGTTCTACACAGACAGTTGGTCTTTTAGTAAGAAGTTGTGATGAGATAAAAGCATTTTTTCAGTAATGTTGCTACATTCACACGTAGCATAAAATGAATATGTTAAACTAAAAAACCCCAAACAAACAAACAACTAACCCAAAGTTGTTTAACATTATTAAAATAATTCTATGCCCTCTGATTTGTAAAATAGCTCATGCTTACTTTGGAATATATTATGCAATACTATTCTTTAACTCCTGTACAATACTAAGTGCTGTTACTACCTAAGAGTAGGTAGTAAACTTCTGGCTGCACAGAGATTTTCTATGAAGCTGAAGACCAAGGTGTTAAAGAATGTTGTCCTGTCCCCTGTACCACAGCAGGGATTTTGACACCCTTCCTACAACAATATCTGGAGGTTTTATAATTCCAGTTGTATAAAATGCTTTTGGAAAGACCAACGTAATGGTGTCAGGTGCAACTGTGCAAATACAAATGTGGGTGCTCAGAAAGACATGTACTTGATAAAAAAAAAAACATAGGTATAATTTCACCCTGCAGTTACATTTCTGAGAAGATTGTGGGCTTAGTCCTCTCTTGGCATAGAAACAAGGAGCCTGTTGGAGAGCCCTTGATTCCTTCTTGTTTGTACACTGGCCTGCCTTGGGGCAAATGCATCCATCAGGTTGCTGCGATATTTGCTGCTGTCATATCCCTGAGGTGAAGGGATGCTGCTGGTGGAGGTGTGGAGACTCTACCCAGGGGCAGAATCTCTCTGGTGGCAGACAATGCTTATCCTAATTCACATTCTGTCTTCTTGACATCACCACAGAGTCCATCACAAGTGTGCTTCAACGCAGCAAGCCTGTGGAAAGATGTGGGCAAATCATTGGAATCTAGCCCTATATTCATGTGTTGCGTGTCTCTCAGGGTTTTGCAAAACACATATTGCAGCCTGTTTCCTTCCCATACTGGCTTACCAGTGGAGCTACAAATCAATGAGAGGAAAACTCTAACTCCTTTTATTAGTTATCCTGTGCTGCTTTTTCTGTTGGAAATTGTTTTGCTGACAGCAGTAGTTTTTACTTTTGGGGGCAAAATTAAATCAAATAATATACACTAATTATCTTTCCTTTGCCAGTCATTACTTTATAAAAATCCATATGTACTATAAACTTGAGCACCTGTGGCTTGGAGAAACTCTTTGGTATATAATTCCGTGCACTTTATATGTATGTTTTCTTTTTAAATCTCCAAAACACAAAGCATGAATATGTCAGACTACACAGAACCCATTATTTTTGCCTATGGACTCTCTATAAACAGAGTTTGAGGCTTTGTCTAAAATTGCAGTGCTATGAATACGTGAAGTAGGATTCCCCATTCCCTTGATGTGAAGATAATGGCACAGATCTGCAAATTCACTTATGCCTTGTGTCCATGGTTATGAGCATTGTATGCAAGCCTGCAGTGCAAGCTGGTTTTATACAGGGTTTTGTGAACATATTTTTTTTCCACAAATTATACCAAATCAACCACTCAGAGAAAATTAACCTGGAGGTCATCCAGAGATGGCCAGCTCTGTATGAGGGGTGAACATGAATAATTACATACACTAGTTGACAAGAAGTGTGTCCCAAATCCAGAACAACGTTGATAACTAATTGCTGCCCTAGTATTGTCTAACAGGAATTGCAAGCATGTAACTCTGGGCAGAGGATTGCTTAAGAAACAGAACAAGAGAAATTATGGTAAATACAGGTATATTTAGGCATCAAATTTGGAAGTAATTCTGTTTAGGATTGAGTACAAGCTCAGAATCTTTTGTCTTAATCCAACATCCAACAACTTGGATTTTTTATTTTTTTTTTAAACAAAAGTTGCGATTTATTATTTATCACTAATGAAGAATTGATGTCTTTTCTTTTGGCAAAAAAATCAGTAAAAATACACTTTATGCTCAAATCTATTTTTCTCCATTTTAATGGCTTTGTCACCTTTCAGCAGAGAAAAAAGCCATTTGCTACTTACTTTATAAAAGTTCCCCAAAATGTTCATAAATTAAGAATGTAATTTAATTTGGAATTGCTGTTAATGTGAGCATAATATCTGAGCTTTAGTTTCACCCTATTTCCCCTTCAAGGAAAACCCCTCTGAGATGTTGGCATTATACGATTTTTCCCCGTGGACAAGAAATTTTAATTTCCTCCAAGTATTCCCATTGCTCAGCTTCTAATTACTGCTTAATTACTGTGTTAGGAATAAAGCTGTACTTATAAAGACATTTGTGGTTTTGCTCATACTGCTCATCACTTATGCACACTCAGATGATGCCAGTAGCTTCCCAGAGAAGTATTGTTGGGACGTGCATTCGATGAGTTCATAGCAGATTCAGTACTTCAGCAGATCCTCATTAGCCTGTTGTGGAGCTCAGTGCCTGTCAGAGCTGCAATCAGCAATGTCTGAGCACAGGCACCAAGCCCTCCAGCTTTTCCACTGTCCTAGCTGTCTCACACTGCATCTATATCATATAGAAAATGAAATATCTTTCAGATGTCTGCCATCATCTTCAGTGAGTTTAAAGCAACAGCTTCTTGACCCAATCGTAGGGGGGGTGTGGGTTTTTTTTGGTTTGTTTTAGGTTTTTTTTTCTTTTCATTTATATATTTTATTGTGAAATTTTATTCTCTGGAATCAAATGAAATCCTAGGAATGTAAAGTAATTTTTAAACAAGGAAGTAACTTCTGCAAGATGGAGCTGTTTGCATA